ATATGTATATTTAATTAAGTTATTAATTTCTTTATTTTTTTTACATTTGAGGGTTTCTATGAGGAAGTGGCCAACCCTCTGCTCCTGGAGGTGGACCTGCAGTATCCAGACAATACCGTGGAGTCTGTGACCACCAATCACTTCAGTCAGTTGTTCAATGGCTCAGAGATTGTGGTGGCTGGTCGGCTGATTGACAACGACCTGGATAACTTCCTGGTGGAAGTGCTTGGCCAGGGGGTGAGAAAAAGGAAATATCTCACACGTAGAGACCTCTCAAGTTGTTAAATGGTGTTTATGATTTTGTTTTTGGATAATGGTTATTTTTAATCTTTATTTCTGTAGTTTGAAGAGGACTTCAGGGAGCAGGGTCAGGCCGCGGTTGTTGATTGGGGTGTGTTGTACCCAGATGAGAGTTACATCTTTGGAGATTTCACTGAACGTCTGTGGGCCTACCTCACCATTCAACAGTTACTGGAGAAGAGGTCATTTATGCCAAAATCCACTCATTGAAATAAGTTTTATGTTGCAATAATTACTCTCTCTGTCATGATACAGCATGCGGATCAGTTCCTCCAAATCTGAGGCCATGGTCTTGAGCTGTAAAATGGTCAAGTGCTTTATCTGGCTCGGGGAGGAGGTCCTGCCCCAAGTGGAGGAGTTTAAGTATCTCAGGGTCTTGATCACAAATGAGGGAAAAATGGAGCGAGAGATCGATAGGTGGGTAGGTGCGGCGTCTGCAGTGACGCCGGCGCTGTACAGGTCTGTCGTGGTGAAGAGAGAGCTGAGTCAAAAGGAGAAGCTCTCAATTTACCGGTCGGTCTATATTCCTACCCTCATCTATGGTCATGATCTTTGGGTTGTGACCCAAAGCACAAGATCACAGATACAAGTGGCCAAAATGAGTATTCTCTGCAGGGTGTCTGGGCTCTCCCTTAGAGATAGGGTTATGATCTGTTGTATGAGAAGAGACCAACAAATAGTCAAACATTAGATTTAGAGGAAGCAATTTAGTTTGCATCATGTTGTGGAACAATGGACCAGCTTGTTATCCATCCATCCTCTTTACCATCTTCTCCCATTTTGGGGGAGCTGGTGTCTACCTCCACTGTGCGATAGGGACACCCTGGGCAGGTGTCACAGTGACACATAAAGACAAACATACAAACGCTCACCCACTCCTGCAACCTTCTCACTGTGAGGTGACAGCTCCTCTGGTGCTCGGTGCTACCCTGAACCAGCATTTGAACATCACGAAGAGTATTTGAAGAAGAGCGTTTGCTTAACAAGTTTTAATGTGCACTGGTGATTTACAGTTTTGTCTCTGGTGATCTACTGTGAGGTACTTCATAGGTATCAGGTTTTGTAAACCCTACAAAGGAATGTTCAATGTACTGTAACCAAAATGATCTTTGATGGTCCAATTTACTGGTAAAATGTCAGACTGATGATAGTTCATACATCCCAATTTGAGGCCATGGTCTTCAACTAGAAAAGGGTGGATTGCCAACACTAGATTGAGAACAAACCACTGTCCCAGGTGGAAAAGTTCAAGTATCTGAGGCGCTTGACGGTAGAGGGAACCAAGAGATTAATAGGGAGACTGTGAATGTGTCTGCAATCATGTGGTCACAGTACTGATCTGTCATGATGAAGAGTACACTGAGCAAAAAGGCACAGCTTTCAATTTATCAATTGATCAGCTTATGGTCATGCTCAATTAGTATGGATCAAAAGAATAGCATCACAACTATATGTAGCTGAAATGAACTGCTCAAGTTCGCCCATAGGGTTTGAGGAAAAAAGGTCATCTAAACGAAAGAAGCTTAGAGTGGTCAGGATTCTCTTGCAAAAGAGATTTTTAATCTCAGTGGGATTTTCTTGGTGAAATAAAGGTTAAAGACAAAAAAAGAATAGAGTCGCTGCTCCTCTGTATCAAAAGGAACTAGTTGAGGTGGTTTGGGAGTTTGGAATTGGCCTTCTGTATGCCTCCATAGAAGGTGTTTCAAACATGTCCTCCCAGGAAGAGAGATAGATTCAGGACTCATGGGATAAATTGTATCTCACATCAAGGTAAGAAGCTAATGAGAGGGTGTTTATAGTGTTCTTGTTTCTTCTGTTTGGAACAGTTGTGGCAACATATATATTTTTCCTTGTCACAGTAAGAGTGGTGGATCAGATGAGAAAGTCAATGCCACAGCAAAGGCCCTGGAAATGTCTCTGCAGTACAGCTTTGTTACCCCCCTCACCTCTATGGTGGTCACCAAGCCTGAAACCGAGGACGGAACAGAGAGCCCCCTCATCGCTGACAAACTCACTGAGGGTAAAACATGGAAAAGGCTTTATGTGATAGAGTGCAGGTTATCTTTCTTTACATGGTATTCACATTCACCAGCAGAGTTGACTAATGGATTAATGTTTTCAGCATTCCATTTTTTAAATGTTTCAAATTATTATTATTATTATTTTTTTTTAAACAGAACAAAGACAGCAAGCAGAAAAATATAAACCAGTGGGTAAGGTAGTCATTTTGTACTATACAGACAAAATGCAGTGAGGAATAAAAAAAACCTTTTATTTATTGGCTTTTGCTTGTTTTTTTAATTTTATTTTAATATAGCTAGATACATGGGGTCATCATATCAAAACCTACCTACAATGCACTATGCAAGGACTCCGTCCTATTATGGTGAGTATGTGAATGGCAGCTTCATGTCTGTTTTAGAAGTAGTCCATCACAGCAAGCCCATTTTCTTTACATTTTTAATGTCTCCTGTTGTTTAGTTCATTGTGATGCACGGCTGCTGGCATGTTGTGGACATCATTTATAGTGCCTGTTTGTATCTGTTGTGTTTTTGTGTTACCTGCAGTGGATGGAGATCCCCATTTTATGATTGAGCTTCCTGAGAAAGACGATGCTCTGTGCTTCAACATCAATGACCAGCCAGGAACCATCTTCAACCTGGTCAGAGACCCAGAATCAGGTCTGCCCTGACCCAGAATTCAGTCACTACATTCTTTTTTCAGTTTATACTTATAGAGACTGAAGAATGAATATCGTTTTTACCACTTTGTATGTAGCTCTTACAATGATGTATAGAATTATAAACCAGTCCTAACTACAATGTTCATTCAGGTCATCTGGACAGTTTCTTTCTTTCTCTTTTTCTTTCTTTTTTGTTGAGAGATGTTTCGCTCTCCATCCGAAGGGCTTCATCAATCTGAGGAGTCATAAACTGTGACTTTTTGACTCCTCAGACTGATGAAGTCCTTCGGATGGAGGGTGAAACATCTCTCAACAACAAAACAAACAAACAAAAAAACAGTCCAGACGACCTGATTTTTTTACCTGGATTATTGGGCATGAACTTTGATGACAGTCCTAACTGCGTTTCCTCAGGTATTCTGGTCAATGGAGAGGTCGTTGGAGACAAGATGATTCCCCCTGATGGGAAAATCAGCACCTATTTTTGGAAATTTGGCATCGTTCACCAGACTTTAGGGGTGAAGCTGGAAGTGACCACTCAGGACATTTCAGTATATCAGGACAGCAATAAGGTTGAGCTGCTGTGGACCGACACCGCTTCTCTTAAAGGACTCAAGTAAGGAATTCTATGTATTACCTTGCTGAACATCAAAACAGGATAAAGTACTACTACATTACCTTTGACTAAATCTATTCCAAACACTTTTCAGCAATTAAAAAATTTATCTTTGCAGCCAAAAATGGCAACAGTGGAAAGAAGTGAGACATCTGGGTGGTAAATTTGACACAACTGACTTTGACGTTTTAAAGATTCATACTCTGCTATACTATATCTTCAATTGTTTTATTTCACCACGTTAACCAGTCAGCTTCACATACCATTTTACTCAAAGGTTGTTTTGCCTATTATGTTTTTTATTCCATGAGAATGTTGCTTGTTTCAGAGTATGTACAATATATTACTCCACTGGAAAACAAACTTTCAAATTTTTTTTTAACAATTAAAAAACAAAAGCAAAACTTGAATAGTATCATGTGTTAAAGACAAATAAGTACAAATACAAGTTACTTTAAACCCTAAAACTGTCTGTTACAGTATGGACCTCCTGGTGACCAAGGATCGTAGTCTAACAGTAACTCTGAAGGACTCGGTCAAGTTCGTTATTTTGTTGCACAAAGTTTGGAAGAAGCACCCATACCACCGGGACTACCTGGGCTTCTACACCCTGGACACTCATCTCCTGTCCCCTGAAGTTCATGGTCTGCTAGGTACAACATGATACAAAACAGTGTTTTGCTTTTTAATTTAAGGAAAATAAAGGATGCTTTAATTTTCAAAGATTAAATTTTGGTAATTCCCTGCGTTACATTACAACCCACAGATCTAATGTACTCTAAATCATCCTTCAGGTCAGTTTTATCATGGGATTGATTATGAGGTGACAGAACTGCGACTGGGAGAGACCCCAGAGAAACCAGACGCCACCATGTATGTAAAAGGGCACGAGCTCAATGTGACCAGGTACGTGAACTGCGTCGTGGGTGTCTCAGATTCATGTGTGCGAGTGGCTGATGGAGTCATCATGAGTTTATGTCTTGGATCTCCAGGGGCTGGCAGAGAGACTTCAGGGAGGATGTGAAGAACGGTGAAAACGTTCCCTGCTGGTTCATTCACAACAACGGATACGGCCTCGTTGACGGAGATGCAAGAGACTACATCGTGACAAGCCTTTTTACAACAGTTTAAAAACAAGCTGTGCATCCATTTTGAAATGATCCAACTCATATTGTTACAAATTTAAAGGCACTTTCAACCACAAATACGTACTGCAATACTCATCCAGCCAAAGAAAAGAAGGCTTTGATTATAGTACTGGGATAATATGAGTGATTTATGGGAATAAATGGTCAGACATACTGAGAAATATTCTCAGTGTTCATACGTGTTGTAACTCAGTTCTTACAATCCATTCAAGATTGATTCATACATTTTCAATTCTGTCATTAAAAAAAGACTCATATTAAGTTTGGTGTGTCTCATAGATGTCTCATTTCAAAATATTAGGACGACTGCAGCACACAAGGTTTTTATAAGCTTGCTAAATGGTTTCTTTGTCATGAATTTAAATATTGGAACTGTTTCAGAGAAGTGATGTAAAAGTTTGTAAAAGTGTGAAAAGTCTGCTTTAAGACTACCACATCACAGAATGTGGAAATAAAAGTCCCACTGGTGGTGACAAGCTGTTGTCTTTATTTAAAGTTTAAAAAAAAAAGTCATTATTTATTATAGTTTAATCAAGATGGAGTGATGGTGTAGAGATGAGAGAAGGTGGGCCTGTGATTGGAAGATCGTTGGTTCAACTCCCAGTACCAACAACATCAACATGTGGGTGAGATAGATGAAGCACTCGCACCTGTCTCCACCCTCATTTGCCCCACTTTGGGCCCTTGAGCAAGGCCCTTAACACCCCCCCCCACACACACACACACACTCCCCATCTGCTCCCCCCGGGTGCCCTAAATAGCAATACTCTGCTTCACACAGAGGGCTGTGGTAGCTCGGTGGTCTGTGGTTGTGTCAGGAAGGACATCTGGCGTAAAAACAATTGCCATGTCTTCGTACAACTTAGTTCTCTGTGGCGACTCCTGAAGAAGGGAGCAGCTGAAGGAAGAAAAAATGAGTTTGATCAAACTGAAGTTTAATTTTCTGACCACAATTCCAAAAGTCACAGGAACAAGCCTGTGAATCAGCTGAAGAATATTATACTCATGGTGAAACATGGTGGTGGCAGCATCATGTTGTGGGCTTGCTTTCTTTTCGGCTGGAGATCAAAATACCCATTTATATTGGCCAAAACCCTTCAGCTGTCAGCCAGAAAGCTGAAGATAGACATGAATTAAATTGTTCAAAACTCAAATGACACTGAACATTACACCCCCCACCTCCATATTTACTGTATATGTTGCTACCTCTCTGCGTTTGTACTCTCTTGATTCCTTCACTCATCTCATTTCCTCACATCTATCCTAAAACTAGGAGCAAGACCCTAGTGTCACTTGTACAGTTACATCCTGTGCACAGACTGTCAAGAATCCTTGAGAAAGTTCCTGGATCCAGACGGTGATCACCACCAAAATATAACCAGTTGTTCTTTATGACAACCTCAACATTTCATGAACATTTCATGAACATTTCATGAACATTTCATGAACATTTCATGAACATTTCATGAACATCCATTCATGACTTTTTGAATGATATTGTGCACTGACAGACAGACACTAACGGAACGTCCTTGGCAGAAATCATGAAGGCAAAAGGTGTAAATAAATGATTTTAAACAAAAATCGAATTAATGTTCTTTCTTTTAAAAGAAGTTGGGAATTGATGTGTTCCAGTGTGCAGAACAGTCACTGGTGGGTTTTATGGTAAAGTGGAGACATTCTACCATACTTTAACCTAATTTTAGAAGAAACATCTTTTCAAACATCGCCTTGTTTTAATGGGATGTGCTGAGGTTAAAGGTCGGAGAGATGAGCAGGTGGTGCATCATCCAGACATGAGACGAGCCCAGTCGTCTACTTTCAACAACATATTTGCAACTTAGGGTCGCTCGTGGTTTCCACTGGACTCAACTGATATTCTCTCAGAAGAAAAAGACTTATTGAATAATTAGTTGTGCTTGTTTTTTGTTTGCATAAAAAGTGAAAACATACAAACTGAATCGTACGTCCAGTTAAATACACTAAACAAAAGCAGTTTCCCTCTCTGTTCTTAGCTTTGTGTTATTGCACATACAATTAAAAAAATATCCTTTTCTGCCTTACTGATAGAAAAACTTTATATATATATGTCTTAGTTAAGAGCTCGGCATGTTCAGAAGTTCATCCTCATGAGGATGAGTCAAGTCTTTTCAAAATAAGGACAGCTTATGAGAATGAGACATCTGGCCGAGTTTCTAAAGATTTTTCTCTTTTTAATGCCTAAAATAAAGGCATCAATGTGGCTTAAACCAAAAAAGATGGTTGAAAAAAGGTACTAAAATACATTTACAGTAAAAATTATATTATAATATAAATAAAAAATATTAAGTTGGTAACCTTTCATTTGTCATGCGCCTGTGGTTCATTTATTTTATCTCTTGGAGTAGCGATGCCTGTTATCATCACTTGTATGTAAAATAATATCCATCTAGAGGAAACATTTCAGCTAAACTTTTCATCTGTGGGGGTTTAATCTGCAACTGTTCAGAACAAAATCTGTGACCAGAGTGTATTTTATTATTCTTTTATTAAATTCCCTTGGACTTTTGTTTCATTTTGCAGCTCACTGCATGTGTGTCTTTACATGTTGGGTTAGTTTCGTGATGTGTGTGTGTGGTGTGTGTGTGTGTACATGGCAAATGTTTTGACCCCAGTTATGTCGGAAGTTCAGGAGTTGAGAGGGATTTTGTGATGGGGATCCCTGCAGAAGTGTTTGCCTGCATGCATCTGTCTCTTTGTGCGCTGTGTTTTTCCAAGCTTCGCTGAGTAACTCCAGATGTGCTCAGGATCAGGGTGTCAGCAGCAGCTTCAGAGGGCCTCTCTGGACTCTGTAGAAAAAAAGAGTAACTTCTTCACACATGGCTAATATTACTGTCTCTGCTGCTCATTCTCCAGGTCTCTAAAAGTTTAGAAACATCCCTGAACTTGCAGAGTGGTAGTTGTGTTTTTTCAAAGGAATAAAGGTGTAAGTCCGCAGTGCTACCACCAGATGGCAGGAGAGAGCTGTGAAACATCTGCAGAACATCCTGATCTCTAGTCTGCATCAAGTTCTGAGTGTCGTCATGGCGTGTCGGCAGCTTTTCATAAAACAACAACAAAACTTACAAAACGAAATGTCAACTTCATCTAAATTAATTAACTTTTATTTTAGTTAGCTTGAGTGGTTCTACAAAAATCCTTTAGTATGAGCAGCTGACCAAATTAAAACTTTGATCTTCACATCTGAGATGTTAGTTAAACTTCTGATTTTGTGTTTTTATTATTAAAATGTATTCTTGAAAAAGGTGTGCAAAGGTCTTGAGCACCAGATGTTTTTTAAACCAGTAAACCAGGCTTTAATCTTTTAAAGTGGCCATGGCTCATCTTTATTTATGCTTTCTGACAATCTTTTTACGTTTTCTGTAGATCTTCTTTCTTTTTTAATACAATTTTCACTGCTGTTTCTGAACATTTTCAAAATATAATTAATTATGAATCATTTAGAATTGTAAAGTCAAGGGATGAACTGACTGTCGACACTAAAATAGAGGCACAGTTTGTCTTTTGTGGCAGCTGAAGGATGATACATTTTTCTGATCCTGTGTTGGGTTTTTAATAGGAATCTTATTTTTTAACATGACTTTAAAATACTGCTCATTTAAATAGTCGATTTAGGAGCACACACTCTCTCATTTTGTTTTAAATCATACATGCTTTAATGATCGGAATAAAAGACTGAAGAAGAACTTGGTCACATGAAAGCAGTTCAAATAAAATTATTACAAGACCTTGAAAAGCCTTTAAGAACTATTGTTTAAGACCAGCTTAAAAGAAGAAGTTCTACCTGCTGGAAAACAAAATGAATTTAAGAAATGCATGAGTTGTTTAAAACTTTTGCACAGTACTATATATCATGGGTTCTTCAGAAGCACCGATTCTCATTATTTTGTGCTTCTAAGTGACAAAAAACAACTTAAAAGTCAGTAGTAGAGTAATTAAAATTTTGTTTGTGATTAATATCTATAATTATTGTTTCAATTATAACTTTTAATACTGTTACACATTTTGAAAGTAAATGCATGTAATTGTTTTTATGTGTTGCACACATTTTCTTTACATTTAAGTTTGTATTTGCAGCTAAAATGACCTTTGACCTTTGCATCATGAGGATGTAAACCTTCCATGCAGTCAGTGAGGTGTCTACAGTTTCACATCATCTAACTTTCTTCCTCATGACTTGGCCTTTTTTTTTTTTAAACTCCGACCTCCATCTTTCCCTCCCAGGTCCTCCCTCCTTCCCGCATGTCTCTCTACCTTTTGTTCCTGTGAGAATATTTCACATTGCTGCTGCCGCTGGTGCGTGATGTCGGGGACTGAGTGCTCATTGTGTGAACGCAGTGTGGGTGCTGCGGTATGCGGCCTCTTGGCGTGCGGTGTGTCGTGACAGGCGTGTGGCTGCTGACGCCAGCCGGCCGCCTTCCTGTCTGTCTGTCTGTCTGTCTGTCTGTCTGTCTGATCAGTGACAGCTGACCATCAATGACACTGTCGTACCCTCTCTCTCACAAGTTCATTGCAGCTCTGGATGATTCCTAAAAGTATATTTCATCATCAATGTTCTGCACACAAATGTTTTATTAATTCAGTTTACTTCAGTTTATTTATACAGCATCAATTCATAACAAAGCTGTCTCAGTGCACTGTACAGAAACATATGTGTACTTAAAAAAGCCATTTAGTACAGTTTTCTATCTAATGAAGCCATCAGACACAGGCTCCCATCCTGAGCAAGCACAAAGGCAACAGTTGGAAGGAAAAACTCCTTTTTAACAGGAAGAAACCTCCAGCACAGGGTTATTCAATAAAACTGCTCAGGGGGCCAAAAGCCAACAGCTCGGGGCCCGGACATCCAGCGATTAAAATCATAAACCAAAGTTTACAATGATCTGTTACTTTTAAAATTGGTTTATTTTATTGCATTGAATCATAAATGCAATAAACAGAACTAAAAACTCAAAACAAGAACCAAAAAAAAAAAAACATCCATCCATTATGTATAAAAAAGTTAAATCTGGTCCTCTGGACATTCATAAAAACAAAAACAAAGCAAAACAAAAAAATATATAGAAATGTTTCGTCTTTCATCCGAAAGACTT